TGCTTGCTTGCTTCAGCTAGGGGATGAAAGACCTTATTTATCATTTTCAGTGAATGATTCTAGATCAGAGTCATGAATCATCAGTTTGATCATTAGACAAAGAAAGCGGGGTAAGCAAGTGGGGTAAGGAACAGTGAATAAAGAATCAAATAGTCGAATAATCAGAATGATGTCAATAATACAAGACTTCATGTGAAAAGTGATTCATCTTTATGTTATCCATCTTAGCTGGGATTCCCATAGAATTTGTATGGGATTCTCAGCTGAGTTGGGTAGTTAAGAGATGATTGCTTTAGTTAGTAAGGATTCCTGATTTCCAGCCAACAAATCCTTACTGCAGTTAACTTCCTATTATTATATTAATAATATAGACATGCAGGATTCCGCAAGATTATCTCTACTACAAAGAACCAGTAGATTAAACTTAAATATCATGAGAATCTATACTACAATACATATTCTTTAGAAAAAGCAAAGTACTTAATATCAAGGAATCCTATTCCAAGAACCTCTAATTTTATATAACTCTGGCACGTGGATGTGCAGTAGATAATCCCAGTTAATTATAAAAAATTTAAATATTTCCTGGTAATAATAAATAATACTACCTGATTAGTTAGAATAATTATATTAAAATAAAAAGACAATGCCTCCACGGAGCTGATTCGGATAAATAATAAATATAAGAATATAGTTAGTAAATATATTACCTCGTAGTATCTTGATAGAGACTACAAGTTCAACAGATTTAAAAAATAGATATATTATAAAGATCAAGAAATTTATATTACTATATTATCTCTCTGAATACCTAAGGTAAATAATCTTGCTGAATACTATAGTAGTTTACTTAATTAAATAAGCAGGATCATGATCCTTGACTTAGGTTTATCTATAATTCTCTGGCTGTTTACTATGAGACTTGCCGCGCAGATCCTTAACTGCCTAGTTCCTGCAGGAAGCAAGATCAAAAAAACACCTGCTCATCTATACAGATTATACTATAATCTCCCGAATCCTGATGTCTTGCTTGAGTTCCTATATATATTCAGATACTATTACTACTAATATATACCTGCAGAGAACCACATCACTTCCAGAAAGATGGGTCCCCGTACTGATACTAGCTACTTTATCAGATTTAACAGGAATTATAGCCATGTTTATCTAGTATAGTATCCTGATTCAAACAAGATTAAATAATCAAGAAATATAATATTCTATGAAGAATACATATACAAGAATAACCATAAAAACCCTGGTAAAGTAACTGCAGCATCTATATCTACTCCTAAAGATCCAATCATGCCGACACAAAGTACCGGGATTAATTTTAATAAAATAATTATACAAGATATAAAAAATATAATTAATAATAATAAGACCCTTTCTATACAGGATAACACTGCTAATCCTATATATAAAAAAATAGAGACTATATTTATATTAACTGAACCTACTATACCTGCCCTTCCTGCGCCTACTGATCTGATCTGTTTAATAAAGAATCCTCATAATTATAAAGTATTATCTACTAAATATATAAAACATAATTTCTGATTCACTGAATCTGAACCTCCTGCTGCTACAGTCACTGTACCAAGATAATCTCAATAAATTATAAAGAGAAAGAGCTCTTCATGGCTAGAAAATAAACAGATAGCCGTATTAAAGTAAGAATCTGACCTGTCTTTTCTATCTATTCTTAAACAATATAAAATTAATATACTAAGTATCTATACAGAAGCTATCTTATCTCTGCTTACCTTATATTAGAAGGCAGCCATGGCCATATAAATTAATAAGATTAAATTAATAAATATATATAAGATAATCAACTGCCCTGCTGGCGCCCGCGTGATTCCAGATAAATAAATATTTAATCTGAAGATCAACATAAAGAGAATTATCATATAATTTCATGCTTAATAAATAATTTACAGTAACCACCAGATATCTAGTATTAACTATACTAAATCCTTTATCTCAGTAGCAAGCAAGATTACTCTTAAAATATTTATAACTAATATAGCAGTAAAGAGCCTCCGCTGGAAGTAATATAATATTATCTCTATCTATTTATATACTTAGATAAAAGATAAGCAGGTCTATATAAGATAATTAACTGGATTCCATAAGAATCTCTCTAAACAAGTATATCTACTCAAAATAATCCTCTACAGACTGCGACAGGCGGCGCATCTGTGGCACTATATCTTCAATAAAAAGTTATAGGAAGTCAGCTTTAAACCCCTGCTAGAGAATCTGTATATATACAGAAATAATAAGACATAGTTTATTATCTACATAGATAATTCTGCTATCACTGGCCCTGAGCAGACAGACTTAATCTCAGTAAAATACCATCTTAACAAAACATTCAGACTCAAGGAACTAGGCAAACCGAAGGTCTTACTTAATTATAATATTCTACATAATTATAAGACAGGTAGTATCTCGCTCGGGCAGCTTATCTACATAAAAGAATACCTTACTGCTGCAGGCATATAATCCTGCTCAGGTATCACTGTCCCCATGACACCCACCTACACAAAGACAGATTATACTGTAATATTAACTAAGGAAGTTAACATCAACAAATATCAAAGCCTTATAAACAGATTAAACTGGCTAATTATCAAAACCAGACCTAATCTACATCATGCCACATTCCGCCTGCAGAGACATATATACACTCCAACTACAACAGATACAAAGACCTTGAAGTATATATATAGATATCTATAGAATACTACTTCCTACGGAATCACCCTGGCGGTCAATCATACTAAAAAGATTGAAATTTACATGAATACTGCCTATACTAATCACAAAGACAGCAAGTTAACAAAAAAATATATTATCTTCTACACAGGCAGACCCATCATCTAGTCATTAAATAAATAAAGCATTATTACACCCTCCTCTACCGTTACAGAATACTGCGCATACAATGCCACCACTAAAAATACCTTGTATATCAAGAAATTAGCACAGGCATTTAATCTCAAGATATCGGATAATAGTAAAATACCTCTGTTCAGCAACACTACTAATTCACTACAGATCCTTAACCACGGCATATACACGCGGTCTACTAGATAGCTAGATAACCACTATCTGTTCATAGCAGACCTAATCAAAACAGGCATTATATCAATCTAACATGTTACAGGCACTAGCAACCCTGCAGACAGCCTTACCAAACCGCTGGATCAGGAAAAGTTCCGTGACTTCCGGACCCTGCTAGAGATGATTCTATTAGCTACCCTCCCGCAGCATCCAGGAAATGATGCTTAATATACAAAAGATTGCCTATCTAGAAAATATCTACAACTTCATTTAGTACCTCCTCGCACGCTCCTTCGCCTAGGGGGCCGTGTCGAGGCATTCATGTAGGCTAGTCACGTGCTGCGCTCGGACCGCTCACAAAGCACCTCTTCGCGTTGCTTTGTTTTGCTCTCCTAGATAGCTCAATTCAACTCACTCTTTTGCTTCCGTTCGTTCGTTTCATTATTGCTTTCGTTGCTGCTTCTGTAGAGCGCTCCTCAAGACAATATTATCTTGAAAGCTTTTAAGAAGTAATGGTAAGCTGCTCGTGCAAAAGAATATAAATTGTCTACGGATTATTGGTCTAGATGTGCAAACCAACCATGATGTAGTTCGACCCTGACTCAGTCAGTATATCCAGGCTTTTCTACAAGCATATAGCCTTGAATTGACACCACTTACACGTCTTGCTGAATAATCAGTACTAACTACTCCTGAGGTCTTGTAGTCTAGTGCTTTGGTATAATGACAACGAATCAAAGATTAGTCAAGTTGTCAGACTTATTCATCACCGAACTTGTCTCTTCAACAATGCCACCGCCTTGAACTTTAGGTACAGCGACTATGAGGTTTCTGATAATGAGAGGTCATCTATACGCTTTTCTGATTGGAAACGATAGGCTCAATCCTTCAGAGACTGTGGAACACGGTAAGCTGGTCTTCGCACAACAAGTAGGAGTACGAATCAGGTAACCAATGCTTGTGGTTTTCTCATAATGCAATCGACAACCTATGATATTGCAGCACCCAGCTTCCTCATCTAGATACAACCTTCTATTTTCGACTCGGCTCACGCAGGATGCGATACAGTATGGTCCCACATTGCTAGAATAGCCCACTAGGCTGCACAAGACAATGTAGTGGACGAATTAAAGTGGTCTGTCAATCGATACGAGAAATTTCATCCACGACCGACACTACGCATACCGTACACTAAGCTCAACCAAGGACTTCTTTCATGGTTCTTGCCAAGACAGTGTACTGTGATATCATCATAGTCATCTTCGTATAGCATCAACGCGATTCCCTGCTCGATTTGAAGAACAACAACATATAAACACGCAAGCGATCGGCCTAAGTTAATGTTATTCTAACCGAAATTAAGACACTCTAAACCAAATCATCTTTCATCCTTACCGCAACGATGTTGTTCCCCATTCCCAAAATGACCGCCACTCCCACGGAGGGAGAGGTGAAGATCCCTTTGCTGTTCTTCGTTCAACGCATTCAACGGTATGACCTTCATCTACGCGCCCCTGTTCCATTTTATTGTTGCTAAATCAGCCATGTGTTAAGACTGATTTACGAGGTCCCCTCCGACGAAGAAGCCATGACCTTGGTGGATGATAACTACAGTTCCGATGCGTTGTTTGAGTAAGCAATCACTCTCCCATATCTCGCTACACACGACCTCTATACCTCATACCTTCACATTAAGCCTGCCCAAATAAACCCCAGAGAAAAAAAATACAGAAACCAATAACTAATCTCGCAATGGCCTTCTTCCGCAATAGATGGAACTCCGAGCGACTGGATCTAGACGGGTTCAAGAAATTTGTCCAAGAATGGCGCGCTCGCTACATCTTCCTAGACTTCGAGTTTCACGAAGCCGTTGCCACGCCTGATGTCAACGACAAAGAGGGACGTGGAGGCACGATCGGCTTCGCGCTGAAGGGGCGCGTTGTGTCCAAAGATGATGGGAAAATGTATGGAGGGAAGGTTCAGTAAGTTAAGAAGTTCTCCGCTTGTTATTGAATGCATGGGGCTGATGTAGTGGGCTAGTGCTATCTTCAAGGTTGAATGGATTGGAGATCGTCGGGTCATCACCAGGAATGCTCAGGTCTTGCAGGGACCCTACGTGGTTGAGGATGAAAGATAAGATATCCGGTCACAGGGTACTTCCTTACATCGGGCTGATGATGTTAGCCTGATGAGAGGGCATGGTCGGAAATCCCTTCTATTCTATTGAGGACAAGTGCTATCTACCTCGAATTGATGTTTGGATTGCGCAGGGCCGGATTTGTGAAGGACCAGTTGTCACACTTGATCGCTCTCCGCGATCTCTATTGCCAATACTTTTGGATAACTCATCCAATTCCCTATAAGGGGCCCTAATTATGTGCTGACGCATCCGCCAATTTAAATAAGTAAACGGTAGCACCAATTGTCCCCACGATGAGCCCCTGTCAGGAATCTAAGCTCTCGGCTGCATATTCCACAAATAAATTTATCTGTCATAAACATGAAAAAATAACAGAAAGAACAATTCCAAAAAAAAACATACAACAGAAGGGATTCGCTGGTGGTCACCCACCCAACTACTAACCTCCCGGCGTGTGGCTTAAGTACGGCTGAGCGGACGGGAAGCCCTGTTTTCCACACCCTATGGTCGTATGTATCCTGTGATTCTTTAGATAGGGTAATATTGGACTCTGCTCAATTGAAACGTTCATGCTATCCTTGGCTATTTCTACAAATTTGCCCCCTTGGCTTCCGTGCCTACCAAATCTTCGCAAATATACTAGCACGGGATCGGGAAGAGAGCTGGAAACCAGTTATGTGCCCTACGTTAGGGAGGAACCCCCTTGCTGAATAGGTTTGCTGGCAGTTTTGACGGGCAGTCCCTGCGAGTTCGATTATCAGCGGTGTTGAAGTCTTGGTTGATGGGGGACGCTGCGTGTGAGATATATATATGTTGTCAACGGGATATACAGTGCGGCTAATAGCAAACAAAGCCCCTGCACTTCACGATTGCCCAGACCATCCGCCTATTGTTCAGTGATAACTCATACTTTATCTCTTTCAATTCTCTGTGCATGGACTTCATTTCAGATGATGTTTGGTTGTGAAATCGTCCACTTATAAGATCCCCGAAGATTCTTAAATTATCGCTATAACACCTCACCAATGCAATTTAATTCGTACGAGAAAAATCATGAATAATACTAATGGGCTCACTAACAAGTCATCCCGATGCTTGATATTCGTCGAAAGGTTCTCATTGGGGGTGGGCTGTTACTTGCTGGATAAGCTCACATGCGTCATCCCTACGCCATATAGTGCAACCCGCGGTTCGCTATATCAGCTATTATCTTCCTCCCTCACCAACTTCAGCATCATAGCCCCATCCACATACCAATCAATACGCTATCACTAAATCAAGCATACAACATGTCCCGTCGCACCACTATTCCCGAGCAGCCGCCCCGACCGCCCTCACTAGGGAGCTGCATCATCTACGGCTGTGGAGCGGGTCTGCTTGGCGTCGCTGCGTAAGTCCGATAACCACCTTGTCCCAAAGAGCGACCAATAGCCTAACCACTTTGACCACTTTACAGGATGACAATCGGCGAAAAAATCGAGCAATACTTCACCGGCCGACCAAATTCATATGTTCCGGGTCACACTCTGGAGCGCCTGCTCCGACTACCCGTTCGCCCCGATTCCGAGCGTTTCGGATTGAACATGGCGATGCACTATGGACAGGGAGCGGCTGCGGGAATAATTAGAGCATTTATGAGCGCATATGGTGTTCGTGGGCCATTCGCGGATTTTATGTTTGTTGCCATACGGCTTATGATCGATCAAACGTTGGAGAATGTTACAGGTGTTGGGGCGCTTCCATGGTAAGCCGGATTAGTCACACCATATGGGGTACCTTTTAGAGCTGGGACGCTAACCGGCTATAGGACCTGGCCTGTAAATGAGCAGGTTATCGATATTCTCCATAAGGGGGTCTTTGCGTTTGTGACGGGATACTTCACGGACATGTGGTTACAAGGGTGATAATGTATTCAAGGCCGACGATTGGCGTGGAACCTGTGGGTTTTAAGAGAACAGTCCCGGGGGATAGACGCTTACGATGAGACACCAATGGTTTCCATTCAGCTCCTATGATGTAGCCGTGAAGACCAGATTGCGCTCGATGGGAAAGCTAAATCGAAGCTCTCCCGCAGGCCCGGAAATGCCGTCCATGTCTCGCTGTTGGTGAGTTTCGGAAATCGAGACATTGGGAAGAATCTACCGAATCATTGAGTTCACTCGGTCTTTTGGGGGTACCATTCGCATTTAAACTTTGCCGCTTGAAGTGGGCGAAAAGGACGTGTCGTGATCGCCATGTTCGGTAGCTGCGCACGTGCTATGGACTGTAATTGCTTCCGATGCTAAGGAAAGTAATCCCTTCGACGGGGTACAATACTAATAAAAGCCCGAAAATAAAATTCTATTACTCGAAATCAAACATATGTCAAGCTCAAAAAACGTAGCATTGCAAACCAATACCTTCTTCGGCTAGGGACCATGAGATACCTCCGACAAGAGCAAATAGAATCGCCAATCTCACGGCCACTCTGGTGTGCCGAATCGGTCGATGGGACCAAAGGCTTGATACAAGGGATCCAACCACCGATCCACAATCCACAGATACCCATTGGATGCCTTCACTTGAGTGACGAGACCTGCATTCATGATGAAAATAGCACTTTCCCCTTGGGTGACAGTAATATTGAGCCCTGTAATGTCGCTAGCTACTGTAATCGGACTGCTGAAATTCAGACCCGCAAAGGTATCGCCATTACTGTCAAGCCAGCCATATTGCCACATTAGAGTGTTGAATGGACTTTTGTATGGAGCAACGAGAGTATCTGTTCGAGTTGATTACTGATCAATAAGGCCCACGGTAATAATGAGTTGGGAAGGAAGGACTCACGGAATATGGGAAGGATCGTAGGCATCAAATCGTAGGCCTCATTTTGTGGAGCCACAAAGAACTGCATACTGCCTGTCTGTTTTGACAACCGACGCAACGTATCAGGGGAGTTCTCAAATAGGATCTTCGAAGAGTTCACAAGGCGCGAGTCACTCTTCAGGAACTCTCCAATGGTCAGATCTGTTGTCTCACTGGTCGGTGCGATTGTCCGATTGCTAGGCCCACCGCCATAGATTAGGAACGGGTCAATAACCTGGTCAATCGCATGGATCAGGCCATTATCTGCAACAATATTTGCCGTCACGATGGCAGACTGATCATCAATTTGTACGGTGCCATTTGAGGAAGTGGTGGAGTCAATATAGTAGCCCTGGACCGTTTTGGTCAGGACCCCGTTGTGGTATTGCTCAGTAGTATTGGACACCTGGAGTGAGGTAGATATTCCTCCTGCACCCTCACTTTCAGATACCTTGAGAAGATCGGAAGCCGTGAGACCAGCCTCGATGATGTGTGTGCGCAGGAGGGCCTCGGTTAAGGGGTAGGCTTGTTGGGTCATAAGGATATCAAAGATAGCGTCGGGAATCTTGGCCCATGCCTATGTGTTTGACTGGTCAAATGTCTTTCTGCAATAGGCTGACAGGGTGGATGAAAATCTTACATTGTTAGTGGGAGCAAGGAATGTGTAGTTACGTTTGTCTTCGTCGTAGTTATAGCGTTTGAGAAACAATGGATTGATCTCTACAATACCGCCGGTCAGGTTGTACACCTCGGCGTAGGTAGATAAGTCGGGGATCTGCAGGAGGGTATCCATGAGGGGAGATGCTGTAACCAGTTGAACGAGAATTGCAGCTAATGCTGCGACGGTTATAATAATAGCCATAATTTCAGAGTCGTTGACGCCGCGACAGGGCCAGAAGAGAACTGAGGTGATTCTGATTTCCACTTATACGGGACATTGCTTGCCTTTTATATTCGTTGGTCTTCACCATATTCACATACGACCTGGTCAGCTTGTTGTCGGAGAGGCTGCCGTCCACATAATACTGCTTATGTCCGAGGCGTCTCGTTTCATCCGGACTACCCGTTGAATATGAAAAGCTTAGGCAGCCAAGGGCGAAGCTTGTCTCCGGTGATGGACCACGATTTCCGTGCTCATGTTGCGGGGTAGCCATCGAATACGGCTAGAGAAGCCGAAGTGCACTATATTAAATAGTGCTGACCTCCGCACACACGCTCATTGTAAGACGTGACGGCGTGGCAAACATTACTATATCGTCGATGGCACTTATTGGCCAATCGCGGGTTTGCTTCCACAACCACGAGTCTAGCCAATGTACGGCGCCCATCCGTATGACCATGCTTTGGGCACGTGTGATAAGCCACATTGCATTAGTAGAAGCTAGCTTCGTCGTCTTACATGAACACACGGGCTAAATGTTGACTGTATGTTGCTTGTTTGTGTGGTCCCGAAACTCTTCGTCGTCTTTTCCACCAATCGGTTTCTTCCAGACTCGGCACTCCCAGCAGCACTACTGCATGATGCGAGACATCTCGAGTCAGCGCGTCAAGGAGAAGAAACCAGTAACAAATCGAATGATAGGTATAACCACCATACTTGATTACTGTGATTAACACGTCAATTGCAGGAGGGGGGACCCCGCTTCTGACAGACATCTCACTTGGGATACGTAAGATACTAATGTTAGATTCCAGACCGAGCTCCTCTGACATATCCAACATGCAGTTCAAAACGCGCAAATACACACGAAAGTGCCGGCTAAGATAGGCATAGGATAACAATTTACCAAGCCGCAGCAATCACCGTCGATACCACATCCGCGTAACCCGAGTCCTTTTTATCTTCTTCTGTAGTTGGAATACCCCATAGAGAGTTGCCTCCGCTGTGGGAGGGCAGCCAGGGATATACACGTCCACGGGGACAATGCGATCCACTCCCCGAACAATACTATAGCTATAATGGTAATACCCTCCACCATTAGCACAGCTACCCATGCTAATGACCCATCTTGGCTCAGGCATCTGATCATAGCACTGCCTCAGAGCCGGGGCCATCTTGTTTGTCACAGTCCCCGCAACAATCATCACATCGGACTGTCGAGGAGAGGCTCGAAAGATGATACCGAGGCGATCTTGGTCGTATCGGGGCATTGAAACGTGCATCATTTCGATCGCACAACACGCTAGACCAAAGCTCAGAGGCCACAGAGACCCTTGACGTGCCCAGTTGACTATTTGATCGAATGTAGTACTTTGGAAAGTCAGCGCAGTGTTTTTTGGGGTGACGAGCAAGTCGGACTGCTTACAGGACGTGCTCGGCCATGTTCATAGGTCGTTTCTCGGCTGTAAGAGCCGTAGAAGTTGATGGATCGCTCCCCTGATCTTGCCGTGAATTGGCAGCCACCCTAATATTTCTCGAAGAGAAGTCACGGCGAGAGTAAAAGCAAAATCCAGAAGGCGTCACAAAAGTCGGGCGCAAACGCGATCGGAGGCATTGGGATAAAGCCCCTGTTGAGTCAGTAAGTCTCCCAAATTGCGAGGAACAACGGACCATTGCTGATATTTAATGATGAGCCAAATCTCGATATATAGTTCATGATGTCTTCGATAGTTGCTACTGACGGGGTCTCGAACATATTTCTCCTGGTCCCTGAGCCCCCCTGAGGGCTTATACACTGATGTGGATCATTTCCCGACTAGCATGTGGGATTTCCCGACTACTCGGCACAGCGGAATGAGCACAGTCATTGTATCCCCACTAATTTTGCGCTCATAACGCACGAAAGCTCCTTAGATACGCGCAGGGGGCTTCCCAATCTCAACAGCTGCGAAGTTGAATCAGATAACAGCATGGTCGGAGTATATTCAGGTTTGATTGAATGAGTGTTCTCAACTGGCCTTTCGCCACCATCCCCACTCTAGCTGCAACCCTTCCCGCCGAACCTCCGCAAAAATTCACATCGCCGCTTCATGCACTTACTGTATTATGCCGTCAAAGAATCCACCAATGCGCCACAGAAATTCGTCGAGTACGCGAAGTACTCATGAAAGGGGTCTTGTGAGGTGTACTGCATGCCAGAAAGTCTTCTCCACCAAAAGCCACCTGCGTCGACATGAAGCGAGTCGTAAGCGACGCCGGCCCTGCATCCATCCCGGTATCTAATCACAACCAGACGGACCATCAGAAAAGCTAATCTGCCCAGTTTGTGGTGGTGCCTATATCAGAAGGTAATTTTTGATTTAAGAGTATCAGTGGATTACTAGCTTTGTCTTACTTCTGACCACCAGGGACGTTCTACGTCGCCATCTTCAACGATGCGGGCCCAAGGGAGATTACCAACTTCCCACTCAAGGAAAGCCAGGGAGAAAGCGAAAATCATGTAACGCCTGCGCTACAGCGCGAGTATTCTGTGACGGAGAGGTTCCTTGCGAGGCCTGCTTACAAAAGGGTCTGAATTGCTCGTTCAGCCGCACGCATGAGCAGTCACCCAGATTCCCCGAGGCTAGCCAAGCCATAACTCGTCAATTACCGGAAGATATCAATCCGTCAACGGAAGGGGAGCCATGCCATCGCCCCGCAAAGTTGTCAATACCGTTTCTTCTACATTATACAAATGTAGAGAGTGAATCGAAATACGAAAGTCTCCGCTTGCTGTCTCAATGTACGGGTGCGGATCCGCAAGTCGGTTGTTGTGCTGTGGACCATCAGCCAGGAAATTCATGCTTCCTCACAGATCCTTGGGAAAGGATGTTCCAGTCTTTCATTTATACTGCTAATCTGGACCCACCATGCGACTCGCAAACCAGTGCGACATACTCGTTTGATCATGCAGATCTTGAGAGCATTGCCGCCGAGCTCCTAGGAATAATGGTTTGCTCTGAACAACAAGATGCACTGGGTCAGGATTCCCTGGGCATTGATAAGGCCAGGCAACTATTCACCCCTTCTAACATCGCCAAATTCATTAGGGCATTCTTTGACAATCCATTTCACACTCACTACATTACTCCGGCCGCTTTCAGCTTGAACAAAGCCTCAAATCTTCTTGTTCTCACAATTGTGCTACTAGGTGCAGTTTACGATAATCCTTACCGCTCAGATGATTTGGCAACATACTCAAACATCACCGAACACCTAGTCTTTGAAGGACCATCTTTTAAGAAGCTGTTAGATGGAAATCGTGAATCCCTTGACTTTGGTGACACCCTGGAAATCCTTCAAGCTGCAATGCTTGTTGTTATTCTGCAGTCCTATAAGGAAAGTCCTGATAGCATACGACGCATTCGCTTGCAACGCATGCCAACTATCTTTACTGCCATTCGTATGCTCGAGTTGAATAAGATTACGAATGACTGTATTCCTGGAGGTTCAGACTGGGACACATATCTTCTCCGTGAGAGTCTTGTCAGGTGGGCGAAAGATCAAACCCCGAATTCCCTAGTCCTAGACTTACATTATGTATCAGAGTCATGGCGGGCATCTACCTGCTGGACTGTTATTGCGTTATCTTCTTTCGCTATCCGACCCTTCTGAGACTGGATGAGATAGCTTTCGAAATACCGCAACGGGATGACCTATTCCATGCTCACAACGCCGCTGAATGGGAGGAACTATCATTGAAGGATCAGAAGCCCCACGTACCATTACAATTGCGGGCCGTTCTCCGCGACTTCATGAGGCCCGAAGGCGAACCTCCTCAACACAGGGAATATTTTCCAAATACTATATTCGGATCATTTCTTGTTCTTTCCGGTAGGCTGCGGGGAAAATTTCCCCACCTCCACTTCTAGACATCTATAGACCCTGACTTACATTATTCTAGCGATACAATGTGTACTATTTGACCTGTTAGCGCTGCACACATTCATGAATGACATCCGAGTCTTTGAACCGGTGGAACGTGCATTGGTTCGGTGGAAGATCCACTGGGACTCATTGTACCAAGGGATTGAACCAGCTACTGCCAAGCGAGCCGGATTCATTATCCATGCCGCCGAATTCTGGTGTGTCGCCAAGGCGCTCGTAAAGCACCCATCTGCTGCGTGGCCTGAAGACAGCAAGGATACGTTGGATACGACACAGAGCTTTCGTCGTCTGGTGGACAGGTTGATGTCTGATGATGATACTGCAAAAGTAGTTTAGCACTTTCTTGGAAAGGTCGCTTTTCGCTCGCCTTTGGCACATCCCCTATCATATCAAAGAAGGGTATCCAGATAGCGACCAGATTACTTTGCTATATACCTTCTGGGTAGTTGTCAAAGTGTGACCTTATAGGTATAACCTTTTCCCGATGTCGTACAAGGGATATCACCTTGCCTCATTTCCAGAAACCCCATGCCAAGCCTAGAATACCAACTTATCTTTCGTCGTGTAAATGTAATTGAATGCCTCCTGAAGGTATAATATTTCTTTGCGTTATCTTTCTTTCATTTTCCATCTTTTTTCATCTTTTCCCATCTTTTATTTGCTTATTTGATCATTTTTTTCTAATACTTTTTTCTTTTTTCTTTTTCTTTTTCTTCCTTCCCCCCTGTTGCGGTGGTGGTAGCATAGGCTAGATCCCGATGATAATGCTTATTTCAGCACCACAAATGAAACTGCGCTTTCAACTTACAACATATCAAGTGTTTATATATGAACTCTCCATCATATTAGAGACAAGGTCGTGGGATTAATCTGAACCGTTCTATGCCAATAACACTTCCTTCAAAGCATAATTAGTAAGATATTTCGACAGTCCCTTCGCGACAACTAGTCCTATGAATACGATAGCGCACGACCCGCGAGCCGTCAGTTAAATCCTTGGTCACTGGACGCAGACTGTAGTCAAACACCCACGGCGACAGAACGAATCGTAGCAGGTAATATATCACACCCAGCCCAAGAATGCCCAAAGCTACTACGGGACTCAGCCAATACGGGATACTCGATGTGCTCGAATTGGGCGGAACAAACGGCATGACCAAGAGGAACTGCAAACCCGTCTCTGTTAATGCATTGACGTATGAAAGCTAGGATAGCGAAGTACACTTACAACATTGGCTGCCAAGTAGAACACAATGACCGGCCATGGCGCAGTGTAGGACGACGACCACCCCTCGGATGGGGTGAATCGCATCTTCACCAGACCCACCGTAATCGCAGTCAACAGGGCGCACATGGGATACGAGGAAAGACCAACGACGAATGAAAAAGCATCCCCTGCTGGTGGAGCACAGATAAATAGAATCGTGACGCAGAGATGCACGAAAAGTGCTGCGATCGGGGTCTTGAACGGTCGGTTCTGCATCATGATGTCTGGAAATGGGGTGATGCCGTCTTTCGCTAACTCTTGCAGCAAGCGCGCTGTATAAACGACTTTAGCCCAACAGGTATATAGAGATAACGGAAGAGTCACTTACGGACGACAAACGCGACTCCCAACAAGTGGCCGATAGCGGACAAAGCTACAAGAGCGGGTAGGGCTCGCGTTGCGGCTGTCTCGCCGAACACATTGCGGAATAGGCTGGCAGCGATCGTGACGTTGGCTGATCGGAATTCTTCTTTGGATACACCAGCGAACTATTGGAATGAGAAAGAGAAATAAGTCACCATAGTTTGAGGATACCTCAGCTGGGGGCAAAACTTACATAGGCGACATTGGCGAGAACGTACAACACGGTGATGATCCCCATGGCGGATGGGAGTGCAATGCGGAGGGTGCGTTCCGGGTTCTTTACCTCGGAGAGGACCGAATTGACATTATCGTACCCTTGGTACGAGAATATCGCGTCCAGGAGAGCCGTACCGATGTCATATCCATTCTTCGAAGTGCCTTCAAAGGATGTCTTAAGGTCAAAGTTATGAGGGTTGGGGATGCGCCGATGGCCAGCCAAAGCCGCGAATCCAGTACACACGATGAACAGTAATGTGAAGAGCTTGACCATGCTCAGTAGATCCTGCATTGCGCGCCCGAGCCTGGGAGCACAAGTGTGGACGCCGACAGCAAATGACACGGCCGCTATTGCTAGCCCTCGTTCCTTCCAGGTCGTGGAGTCTACCCCAGCAGCTGATAGGAGATATTCCGAGGCAGTAATCGAATTGCTCGCAGAGACCTGTAAGAACAAACAGAAGAAAAGATAGATGCAAGTCTGCATCTGCTTCAGAGAGAAGCATCGCTCCAAATACACTTTGATGCCTCCCGATCGAGGCATCCCGCTGCCGAATTCCAGCATCACCAGGGCACCACAGGCGGATATGATACCGGCCACCACCCAGAGGATCAGCGACAAGCCCACACTGCCAGAGAGCTTAAAGATAGTTGAGGGTGTAGAGAAGATTCTACTCGCCGTTAGCAACTGACAATATCTAGATCGGAATGGCGGAGTGACTGGACGGGACCATGGACCTACCCAGCGCCAACTATCTTGTTCACTACCAAAGAGATGGCTCCCAGCACCCCAATCTTGCGTTCTTGAAGTACATGGTTCTCGTTGACTGTGAGTCTTTCTCCGCCCTTGGGACTTTCATCGCGAGAGCGAGACGCGTTCGTCTCGACTGTCACTTGGGAAATCGTGTCACGGCCCATTTTGACGGAAAATCCAAATTCTCCAACCCATAAGCTTTCGCCCGAGGCTAAACAGCTTATATGTCAGTGATCTCGTGGAATCCTTGCGGCTTCCGTCCGAAATTCTCTCCAGCCGCCAAGGTGGCTAGTGCTAGTGGATGAGTTCAGCTACAGGCATGATGGCGTTATTCCCAAAACCCCACTAGTGATTCGCAGGCTTATTAGCATCCGCCTCCCAAACATCCACCTTAAAAGAACAACCATGCTCTTTCTTTCGTACTCCAGGCCCACTTCTAAGTTGGAGACAGCAGTGACGTGACCACTGCTGATAATTCCGTGACTGCTGACGCTGTTTTCGCTGAGTCTCGACGCTCCTCGGAGCTCTAACATCTTCATGTTTCTATTTAGATGTACATGAAAGTCGAGTGGTTGACGAGCGAGTCTTCCCACCCTTCTTGTGACATGGCCTACTCGGCGAATATCCAATGCTACCGGCAGAAAATTGAGCAACATAATGAAAATTCCGATCGCGCACAACATATTGGTCCACGAGAGGTTACAGCATGCAGTACCTGCTATCATGCGCGAAGTCCATCCCCGGCGATTGGTCATTAGAGTGATCTTCGGGGCACGGGGCTTATGAGGGGCAGGAAGACGAGACTAACAGGGCGGATGAGATTTGAACAGGAGCATTTATTGACAAAAAGCGCGGTACGCAGAAAATCAACATAAGTGTTCAGGTGCCAGAGCTCCCTACAATTACAGACGAATCTGTTCCTTGCCCTGCCTCCTTCTGAGCGCAATCACCCCATTCGGATCCGCCGCCAACATTGTCCCAAACACTATCGTCTCGGGCTTTTTCCCGACAACTTTGAAGTCATACTTCATGAGGATATGGCACAACGCTAATTTGATTTCGTTTGCCGCAAAGAATCTTCCCGGACATGCGTGTCGGCCCAGTCCGAAGCCCAAGTGATTCGGGGACGAATTAGCAAACGCTGCAGTGTGCTCGTGGCTAGGCTCGTTTCTGAGCTTGAGAAAGCGATCGGGAATGAAGGTTTCGGGTTCAGGATAATATTTCTCGTCCCATTGTCGGAGGCAAGGGACAATGATCTTGCAGTCTTTGGGGATGATGGTGCCGTCGGATAATGTGACAGGTGTCTCGGCCATGCGGCGCATGGAGACTTGGTGGTGGGTAAGTTAGCTTAGGGGCACTTCATACCAGAACCATCAAGAACGGGTCAAGGACAATTAGAGTGAATAAGGGCCGCATATACGATGTATGGGTGAGAAAAGAAAGATTAAGGGATGCCATACCGCTGCTGATGGGCTTCAAGCGCTGACTCTCCTTCAACACACTATCCATCAATCTTAGCTTCGCCAACGAGGACCTTTCCCAACCATTCTTGAAGACAGATCTGATCTCGTCTCGCATTGCTTCAATGAGCTCTTCCCGCCCGTCTAAATCGTACAACACCTGAGTGAGCATATCGGAGCTGGTGTGCACAGCCGCACTGGAAAGCAACAACTGCGCAGAGACAGGATTATACTGTCTTCCATTCGCAACTTCCTCCAACCACTCTATCGTATCCTCATGGCGTTCTGGATCTCGCCCTTGCTGCTTTGCGATGGCTTTGGCTTTTCGACGTTCCTCTATAACCGGCTCGATGATGCTTCGAGCTTCTCGTATGTCGGCACGAAGCCTTCGACAAGATGGCTGGAACCTGGACGCCAAGGGGCGCAGAAAGCGAGGATAGATGCGCAGTTCGAAGGTTGCTTGGAATAGATCGACCGAGTAGTCGACGGAAATGCGTAGCCACTTGGGGTTATGGCAAATCTTATCTCCTAGAAAGACTCGGGAGCTGATTTGAGCGATGATCTTGAGCATCGTTCGGCTCAGGGGGATTTCATGCCAGTCTGGTAGTTGTCAATTCCATCGTGACATACAGGAAGTGGTATGCAAGGTGACTAATACCGTGGTCATTAGTCCAATGTTCCTGCAATGCGACCGTTGCCTCCTGAGACAATATCTCGTTTAGATCCTCTGTTTAGTCAGTTGCTGATACTCCACAAATAGTTATGGGACAGAAGCCCACCCAAGTTCCGGGTCAACTTTGTCTTCAAAGTAGTCTGAAAGATCTCATCATCCTCCAGGGCTTGCATCTGTTGCTCAAACCCAGGAACATTGACATGCATGTCCTCTATTAGAGTCTTACGGAGGCTCAGTGTTTTTGAATTGCGGATCTCGTCGGCGTATTTGGGGTCCAGGACCATCATGACCCCATTTTCAGTGACGATGTTGAATGCGCTTGCCTTGAAATGGTCAACTAAATATTGATCGCTGCAAATAACGAATTTCCTACCTTTTTCAGTCCAGCCTTGAGCAGATCCTGTGCGTTTGTGATGAAACGTTTCTTAGCGAGCAAATCGATGAATTCAAACCGTCTCTTTGCATTAATCAGGGGTAGTGCGTTCTGCGATACGGGTGCATCCCTCCATTGAAGGAGAAAGATGAGCGCCAGAGAAAGCAGGAAGATCACGGTGCCTAGCCCGAGAGGGTTGCCATCCTCTTTGGCGTCGACATTGAGTTCCATGGCGGGCGCAATTTGAAATGAGTCAACCAGTTGTGCTACACCAAAGGATGAGGGAAGGGCAGTAGAGATTCAATTTATAATCGCTGCAGTCTGAGCGAGCGATCAATTTAGATCGGTCTGGTATCATCCTCATTATCTATACATCCGATGTTTGTCATGTATATTCTGCCTACAGCTTCTCAGTCATTCTTGTTGATGGGGTAGTAGCCCCCATGGCCTAAACATATCGCGTCATTAATGTCTCATATTCCAGTGTTAACTCGAATAATTGAATAAAAAGGGATTATGTGTGCATTAATCAAGCTCGGAGGGACTTCTCGGCGTTTCTGCGATCATACTCGCAGCCTATGTGCACGATGTGGAATCAAACATGCAGGAGGCTTTTGGAAGAAGTATGGCACATGGACGGCCACGATCCAGCTGAAGTCCTACCAAAAAGATGCTCACCAAAAGCAAAAATTTATCAAGATAGATTTCCATTCCACGTGAGAATGATTCTGTGCTTTCCAGTCCAGTTTGTGATGGGCGTATGCAGGTAGAGTCATCTCCATGCGCACATTCCCACTTTACAACAAGAGCTGAGAGAGATTGAGGTTAGTAAGACTGTCGTGCTTTTGTGTTCCAATACGCTGGTGACCCTTATGTACAGTGAAGCAGCATGTATCCATCGATTTTAGGGGCGTGAACCGGCCCCCGTGCCAAAGCCCGATTTTGCACCAGACACCCAACACATTTCTTTTTTCTACCAGGTATCTTTTGTAAGGATCATGTAGCCTTCTGAGGCAACGCTTTTCACCGAACTAGCCCGGCTAGCTCAATCGGTAGAGCGTGAGACTCTTAATCTCAAGGCTGCGGGTTCGAGCCCCGCGTTGGGCT